TTTTTCATCAGACATGAAATATTCAAATATTTTCTTTCAATCAGTACCTTATCTTTGAGATAGCATGCGGAGAAATGACGGATACAGGTGAGGGGAAGGAAGGCAGCAAACCACACTGCCATGTGTGTACCTATGCAACAATCTTGCATGTTCTTCACATGTACCCCCAAACCTAAAATGCAATTTAAAAAATAAATAAATAAATAAACAAACAAAACTTTTATTTTTAGTTTGGGGTAGAAGTTCAGGTTTGTTACATAAACTTGTGAAATGAGGGTTTGTTGTACAGATTATTTGCCTTCACAGTGACTTGTGTAGAGCAAAAGTTTTCAGTTTTGATAGAGATCAATTTTTCTTTTTTTTCTTTCATTCATTGTGCTTTTGGTGTTTTATGTAAAAACTAACCACCAAACTCAAGGTCACATAGATTTTCTCCTAGACATTTCATAATTTTGCATTCATGTTTAAGTCATTTTATTTAATTTTTATGTAAGATACAAGTGAAATATTGGCAATCATTTGATTGCATAAAAACATTGAACTCTTTCAGCACTGCTCTTTTAGAAAGGTTAACTTTTTTAATTGAATTTCCTTTCCAATGTTGTCAAAAATAATGACAGTTGCTTAGGTCTATTTCTGGGCTCTCTATTCTCTTGTTTTAATTTATGTATCTATCATTTCTCTAATACCACACTGACTTGATCATTGTAACATTATGTGTCTTCTGACTTTGTTTTTTCTTGTTTGTTTGTTTGTTTTCAAAATTATCTTGGCTTTTCTATTACCTTTGCCTCTCTATAAATCTTAGAATTATTTTGTCAGTATCTATATAAAAGCTTGCTAGAATTTAGTTCAAATTGCACTAAATCTATAGAACAAAACTGTAAAGAATTAACATCTTAACAATTTTGAATCTTTCAATCCATGAGTACGGTACATCTCTCCAACTATTTGGAGCTTCTTTGATTTATTTCACCAGTAATTTGTACATTTCTAATAATATCCTGAACTTATTTTGTTAGATTAATACCAAAGTACTTCACTTATTTGGGTGCTGTAAAAAATTATATTAGTTTATGCATTTCGATTATAATTGTTCATTGAAGGTATATAAAAAAGCAATTGACTTTTGTATATTGACCTTATATCTTTCAGCCTTGCTAAATCTCTTATTATTTCCAGGAAAGTTTTTTTTGTGTGTGTTTTTCTTTTTTGTAGAATTTTAGGGACTTTTTATATAGACAATGGTCAGCATGGTAATTGATCACAATGCCTTGTTTACCATGCTTCCTGTCTCACTTCATTTACTTTTGCTATACTAGAATTTCATCCTTCCCCAAATAAACCTTTACCACTTAATCTTTGCCTAAGGCTCTGATTTCTAGAGAGTGCAGACTGTCAGCAACCTCTTACCTACCTCAAAATAAATTTTAATTATTTGATTTTAATATCAAATGTCAAGATAGAAACACCACATAAAAATATGTATAACTATCACAAGGCAAACCACATCATAATAATTGCAACCACTACCAAGATCAGGAAAAAGAATTTTTACAGCAGCCACATAAAACCATTTGTGTGTTCCATTACAATTGCAATGCTCACATTATCAGCAAAAACTACAATCTCAAACTTTAAATAATCACTGCCTTGCTTTCTGAATGGTTTAATCATCCCAGTTTGAATTGTTACACATTATAGCCAATCTTGTGCATTTTGTAATTCTGTATGTTTTAAGTCTATTTTAACCTGTAGACTCTCCGTATAGCCCATTCACTTACTTCCAGTATACTTGTTGAAGAATTCAGGTATTTTGACTGTAGAGTTGTCCATAATGTGGGTTTTGCTAATTTCATCCACATGGTGCAATTAAACATATTCATCTGTTTCAAGTTCACCTTATAGGTTTCCTGTACTAAACCTTGAATCAGTCATTTCTCCAAGAAGCCCTAGATTCTCACATCAATAAAAATTATTGCAATAACACAATCTGAACCTAGGAATGATCATATTTATTTGAATGTTCAATGTCATTAGAATTTTGAGTGGACATAGTCAGCAGGTAAATAGATAAATAGGAGATAGATAGATAGATCATGAGCCCATCATATATATATATAATTTAAATAGAAGACTCTAATGACTTTCCCTAACCTCCTCTATATTACATTTGAAATTGGGATATTCAATAAGTAATCATTTGCTTTATCTCACATTACACATGTAACAATTATAAAACACTAAATACTATATCCATGAATATAATTACCAAAAATGTCTTTAAAATATTTGCATATACTCTCCTCATTCTTCTCTTTAAAAAAAAAATGTTCTACTATATCTACTTTGTCAAACTATAGAGATTTTTTTAAAAGACAGAGTCTAACTCTGTCACTCAGGCTGGAGTGCAGTGGTGTGATCTTGGCTCAAATGATTCTCATGCCTCAGCCACCTGAGCAGCTGGGATTATAGCCACATGCCACCAGGCCCAGCTAAGTTTTTAAAATTTTTAATAGAGACAGGATTTCACCATGTTGGCCACACTGGTCTCAAACTCCTGACCTCAAGTGATCTGCCTATCTCGGCCTCCGAAAGTGCTGGGGTTACAGGTGTGAGCCACTGCGGCTGGGCCTAGATATTTCAAAAGACAATTTTTGAATTTTTTGAATAAAAAAAATTGTTTACAATGTATGCATATACAAATCACAAAAGAAATTATTAAGTTGACAAAAGGAAAGTTAATACTTTCACATGACAAGATTTCATTAAAAACTAAAAAGTCAAAAAACAGATTGAAAAAAGGTATTTTCAACATAGATAAGATAAAGCAATACTCAAAATGTCTAAAGAATATCTCTATGTTATTATAAAAGTAATGAAGGCCTCAGGATAAGAAAAATATGAAGCTCCATCTATGCTCCCTTATTATTCTTCCACTTTCCCTACTTAGCTCCAGAGAAACTTTACAAAAGATTCTGAGTTCATAAAGACTCTTCTGCCAAAATATCTCCTTTGTTACAATCAATTATGTGAATAAACAAGCGAACTTTCCTTGGCAATTAGAAACAGAATGAAATCTTTTATTTTTGAGATGGTACAACATTATTATGATGTAGAAGAGAAAGCAACATGCACAGCTGTACCATAAACAGTGTCCTTCACAGACCATTCCCGTAAATGCCGTTTCCAAAAACACATCCCCAAGGTAACCCATTTCCTGGTTTCCCTCCCAGATGTTTCTTTATGCAACTACATATAAATATGCATATAAACTAAGTTGTACCCTGTTCTTATTAAGAAAAAGGTAACAAATAAACATTTTCTGTTCTTCGTTTTTCTTTTCTTTTCTTTTTTTTTTTTTTTTTTTTTTTTTTTGAGACGGAGTTTCACTCTTGTTACCCAGGCTGGAGTGCAATGGTGCAATCTCAGTTCACCGCAACCTCTGCCTCCTGGGTTCAAGCAATTCTCCTGCCTCAACCTCCTGAGTAGCTGGGACTACAGGCACGTGCCACCATGCCCAGCTAATTTTTTGTATTTTTAGCAGAGACGGGGTTTCACCATGTTGACCAGGATGGTCTCGATCTCTCGATCTCATGATGCACCCGCCTCGGCCTCCCAAAGTTCTGGGATTACAGGCATGAGCCACCGTGCCCGGCCTGTTCTTTTTCTTATCCAACAGTGTATCTTGGAGATACACCTTATTTTTACTGATACAGAAAACATCCTCGTGTTTCCAACCCTCATATAATAGCAACTGAATGAAAGTCCCATAAAATATATAAGTAGTCATCTTTTGATGTCCATTTGGGTTGCCACCAGACTTGTGTAATCACTTGTGTAATGATGCAGAGAAAAATGTGTGTTAAGCAATACAGAAATATTAATTGCAACTAGTGGGTATGACAGGAACTAGGGAGAGGATGGGGCAATACAGGAACTGAGATACAATAATTAAGGGAGTTCAGTGTAGAGCTAGAAGGCAGCTTGATAAACTTGGATTTTATGAGAAAATAAGGGGGAAAAGAAACAAAGAAATGAGTTTGCTAGTCACAGAAAGAGAGACACAAAAAGGAATTAAGAAAGAAACTGAGCAAGAAGTGGGAAAGCAAAGGGAGCCCTGAGGATGAATGTGCCATTTCAGGATTGAAGAATACATGAGATACAGGAAAGGGGGCTGTAGGCTCCCACTCCCTCTGCCCTCTCTCCACTCCACCCTCAGCCCAAAGACACAGAAAGCCCAGCTATCCCTTATCACATCACCTCCCAAAACACAGCTCCATTTCTCTCCCTCATTTGAGGCTGGCATAATGACGTAAGTGACATTAGATAAAATGCCTCTTTCTAAGATCTTCCATCCACACCTGAGAAGGTCCACCAGTTTGAGATGGACCTGAATGAGCACACATTCAGCCTTAAGATTGCTAAGCAGTTAGGGTCAGGGAGTGAGTTCACTGTCACAAATGCCAGTCAGAAAACCCACAGAAAGGCACTATTGCTATTGGACACTGCAAGCAGGAATCAACAAGGAAAGTTTGAAGCTTGTGCTGGCCCTAAGATTACTCAGAGAAGTACTAGTGAGTTTATACAATGAGCAGAAACCTTGAAACCACATGGCAATATAGAGGAAGATAATCTCGGTACATAAGATCAAACATGTATGTCAGATGTAAGAAAATATATCATGCTTCTTTTGTTTTTCTCATTATCAGGTCCAAGGGTTTAAAACATTTAACATCTTTCAGGTATTTACACTTCTCACATTCATTTTGCAACATGCATTACAACTACAGAGGGCTAATAAATTTATACATCTATTTAAAAATAATGAAGTGATCTTCCATGGAAAAACAATTCAATATAAATTGAAGCTGTGTCATAGCTTAAATACCCATTGTAGACCATGAGCTGTTTGATTTTGAGAATGATCGTTTTGGATTCAATTAGTACTATCAGATTCCTCAAATCCATCATGAGGATGGATTTAACTCAGGACGGACTTAACTTTTGACGAGTTGATAGCAGCGTTTCAAGACATCTCCAAAGGCCTGTATGAATTTGTCATTCCACAGGGTGAAGATAAAAGGGTTCAGAAAAGGGGTCACCACTAAAACCAGCAGTGATGCTACCTTATTATACTCAGCTGCCTGTGTTTGCTTGGGTTTCACATAGAGAAAAAAGCAGCTGCCAAAGCCGATCACAACATAAGTGAAGTGGGAGGCACAGGTGGAGAAGGATTTCCTCCGGCCAGAGGCTGATGGGATCTTGAGGATGGTGGAGATGATGTAGGTGTAGGAGACAATTGTAGGGATCAAAGGACCAATGATAATGAAAACGGCCATTAGAAAAAGAATAAACTCTGTGAAAAGAGTATCCTCACAGGACACCTTGAGCAATTGCCCTCTATCACAGTAAAAATGATCTAACACATTTGATTTGCAGAAAGTAAGCTGAAAAGTGGCATAGACCGGCCAGATTTCAGAAAGAAACCCAAAAACCCATGACACAATTACCACCCAAATGCAGGTGCTGCTGTTCATAATGATGTTGTACCTCAAAGGGTTACACACAGCCATGTAATGGTCTACAGCCATTGCTCCAAGTAATGCCAACTCCGAGGTACTCAAAGAAAGGTATAAATACAGCTGTGCAGCACATGCAGCCAAAGATATGATCTGAGTGTTTGGAAGCAGCAACCCCCAGAGCATAAAAGGAACAGCGGTGGATGTGATCAGGACCTCCAGGACAGAGAGGTGGCCAAGGAAGAAATACATGGGGGATTGCAGATGTTTACTGACACAGACAGTGATAATGATGACTGTGTTTCCCATCACTGTCACTGAGTACAAAAAGAAGAAAGTCACAAAAAAGATACGACGTACTTCTTGGGAGCCAGGGAATCCTAAGAGAAAAAATTCGGTGGCACTGGAGGAATTTCCCAACATTTACTTCTGAGTGATTTTCCCTTCTGAAATCTAGAAAACAAAAGAAAGCTAATATGGTTTCCCATCCCAACAGAAGTAGAAACCGTTCTGAAATTCCCCTCCTGTCCACAGACTTCACATCACCGGAATAGTAAGCATTCATCTTCTACTATTCCTGTATATGGTCAGTGGTAATTTTTCTAAATATGCACAATGTGTGAGAAAAGTTGAGTTGGCCAAGAAGATGATCCGTCCCCAGGGCTACATCACAAACATTAGAGCCTGTCTCCCACCCAGCAGGCACCCTCAATGCTCAGTTCACCTGCCTCCCACTCTGCTCTAAACAGTCATCAGTCAGCCTCCATGACCACAATGGGTTCCTTTCCACCACTAACTCCCTTCCATCTGGAAGGTCCTAAGCTACTCCTTCTGCCAAGTATTTCCTATCCTGTAAATTCCTGCTCCAGTATCATGTTCTATACAAAAATTTTCCTGCCAACACCCCCGAGCTGGTTACTTGGTTTCTTTGTTTCATCTGAATGTAGGTTCCATTTATAGAATGTTTATTTTAAAACTCCTGCTTTACCTTCATCATCATTGTTGTGTGTTGGTGAGAGTGAGGGAAGTCTCCTGAGGAGTTCCTATAAATTCTCAAGGGCAAGGATTGAGTATCTCTCAATCTGCTGGTCAGCTGGTTCCCTGCATGGATGACTCCTTTCTTCCTCCCTATCTTGGGAATGAGACCCTCCCTTACATTTGTCCTCAGTGAATGTGTCTTCTCACAGAAGGCTGACACACCAGCACCTGGGCTGAGTTGAGCCTGGCCATCTCTTTCTAAGACTCGGACAACTCTGGTCACCAGAGTGTGACAGAAGTCAGATTCAGAATGAAGCATAGGAGGAACTTTTATCCTCAGCCTCTGTCTGTTCCGCAGACAGCCTCTGTCTGTCAGTCTCATACTGAGACTGACAAACCAAGTCTTTAGGTCTACATGCCTTGCCTCTAGGAGAGCCCAAAGCCACCACGTGTGACCTCCAGGTCCAGCCCAGGTTCTAAATACAGAGGGTATGCTCTCATTCTATTATAAAGTTTGGGATATCTCCTTAAAGTCAATGTTCCTTATACATCACATTTTTTCTCCCAAAATCATACCAGAAATTAAAGAGCTAGCTGTCACTAACACAAAATAGACCGAATTTCCTGAGTACCTTAGAATTTCTGAGCTTTATCTTTTGTTTCCTTCAGGTCTTTGCTTAAGTGTCCAAGTTCAGGGAAATTGTCCTCATTATTCTGTCTAAGAAAAAGCACATACTACCATTCACTCTCTATCTCCTCGCTGTAAGATAATCTACTTATCTTTTTGGCCTTCATCACTTGAAATTATGTCACTCATGTTACACTGTAAGCACCGTTAAAGCAAGAAGATTGTCATTCTTATTCATTATGTCTCAGGATCTAGTACTATTTTTGAATGAATTAAATGAATTTGTCAATTAAAGGCTGAATCTATGATCAGAGCCAATGAATACCAATGCTGAAGGCAGCTGCCTTCTCTCCCTTCTGTCCTCACCGAGGCAGTGCCCAGTCCGAGTTCATTCAGGCCTCTGTCTGAGACCTCTTGTGAAATGATATTTGGGAAGGACCAACTTGATGAAAGAAGTCAGTCTGGTCTTCACAATCTCTGCTTACATGGGACCAGATGAAAAGAAAGGAGAGATGATAGTTCTGGCAATAGCAAGGAACTAAGCCTACCTCAAGCACTGAGTCAGAATGGTTGAAAGTGATTTCTGCTATGCAAGAAGGATTTGAAGATGAGCCTATTACTCTTTAGAATATGGATGTCCTCATCCTAGAGGACAAGCAAGCCCAGAACTTCCCATCCTGAGCCTCTCCTAGTTTCTCCTTCACAGAGCACAACTCCTGGAAAATACTCACCTCCAGAGAAATATCCTGGAGTGAAAAGTTGAATGGTTCCTTAGGACTGGACCCAGGGTGCCTCCTGACTGATTAGTGCCGAGATTGCTTTGTAGCCCAGAGGAAGCTACTGCTTCTTTACTCTCAGTGAAGTCTAGAAATCATAACGCCATGGGATGTCCCACTGTTTCTCTCTTTCTCTTTCCCTCCTTCTTTCACTCTGCAATGCATCCCTAAGGAATATTACTCACTAAGTTAAGTTAGTTCAGAGAAGCCCTAGGGATGCAGTGAAAGAAACACCAAAGAAACGTTCAGCTTTTCTCTCCTGTGACTAATCAGGTTTGAGAACTCTTAAAAGTTTGTGTAATGGGAAAACTTGAAATCTCCCTCATCAAGAGTTTCTCGAAACCCAGGCTGTTTTACTCTAGGCTCTCAGTCCTGGTTATAAACAGCTCAAGTCAGTCCTGCATTCTCTCATGTGCATCTGTCTAATTCTATTTAACCCTATAGAGACTACACTGCCTGTGTTGGTTAACACAGGTGTCAACTTCACTGGCTTGAGAGATGCCTAGATGGACAGTGAATCATTGGTCCTAGGGCTGTCTATGAGGGTGTTTCCAGGGGAAATTGACATGTGGGTCAGTGGACTGGGAGAGGAGGCCCATCCAATGGGCTGTGGGTGAGGCTAGAACAAAGTTTTCAGAAGGGGGACATTCAGCTTGCTTAGATTCCTCTCTCTCTCGCTTAGATTCCTCTCTCTCTCTCTCTCTCTCTCTCTCTCTCGCTTAGATTCCTCTCTCTCTCTCTCTGGCTTAGATTCCTCTCTCTCTCTCTCTCTCTCTCTCTCTCTCTCTCTGGCTTAGATTCCTCTCTCTCTCTCTCTCTCTGGCTTAGATTCCTCTCTCTCTCTCTCTCTCTCTCTCTCTCTCTCTCTCTCCCTCCCTCCCTCCCTCCCTCCCTCCCTCCTAAAGTGAGTGTCTTTTCTTCTCCTGCTCTGGGACATCAAATCCCAGCCTTTGGACTTTGGACTCTAGGACTTGCACCGGCATCCTGCCTCAGACTGGAAGCTACACTGTCAGCTTCCTTGGTCTTGAGGCTTTTGAGCTGGGACTGAGCTACACTATCAGCTTTTCTCATTTCCCACCTTGGAGAAAACCTACTTGGAGGCTTCACCTTTGTAATCATGTGAACCAATTCTCCCTAATAAATTTCCTTTCATATATATATATATGAAAGAGTGTGTGTGTGTGTATGTGTGTGTGTGTGTGTGTGTGTGTCTGTACATGAACACGTGTGTATACACATATACTATTGGCTCTCTCCCTCTAGAGAAACATGACTAATATACATCAAAAACCCAGAGGCCAGGGATGAGTGAGTAACATGAGAAAATAGTGGTATAGGCTCCTGACTCTCCACTGAAAAGACAAAAACAGCCTGAAACTGCCAAAATCAACTTTATTAGAGCTTTAGAAAATACTCAGTGTTTCAGCAACCAAGCAAACACTGATACAAGAAAAAAAAACTTAAAAATATTAGGAAAGCTCTGTGGTGTTTTTAATTACCTTTGCCTACCCTCTCCCCACCTCGCCAGCAGTCTTGAAAATGACAGCCTGTATCCTCAATGTGAGATCCAGTCTCTGGTTCCAGACAGTGCAGAGCAAACCTCATTCACAAAGTACTATGTATGTCTGTTCTAATCTGTCTGGACTACCTGAAGGACTGGCCCAAGGTGCTAATCTTTGTTTCACTTAACACAGATTCTACTCATGGTAAAAAGTTCCAGCCATTGAGTAAGAATATTGTTAAGACTAACAAAAATTCTGCAGTCTCCTACGGTAAAAGATTACTATTGAAACATAAAGCAGACCATGTAAGCTTCAACCTCAGAAAACTTGAAAAATAGCGGAAAATTAAATCCAAAGAAAGCAGAAGAAAATAAATAATAAAATTAGTGCTGAAATCAAAGCAGTTGAAAATAGGAAAGAGAGAAATCAAGAAAGCCAAAAGCAGGCTCTTTGAAAAGACTAATAACATTGATAAACCTCTCTCACCAGGCTAACCAAGAAAAAAGAAAGAAGACAAAAATTACTAGTGTAAGAGACAAAAGAAAGGCCATTATCATTGGTACCATGGACATTAAAAGGATGGTAAAAGAATACTGTGAAAAACTCTACACCAACAAATTTGATAATTTGTATAAACAAACAATTTTTTGTTTCTAAGCACAATCTACCAAAACTCAGACAAGGATGAACTAAATAGGCCTATATCTATTAAAGAAATTGAGTAAGCAATTAATAACCTTCCAAAAGAAAAAGCACCCAGCCCAGATATTTTCACTGGTGAATATTACTAAAGACTTAAAGAAGAAATGATTACTTATTCTCTGCAATCTCTTCCAGAAAATATAAGCAGAGGAAACACTTCCTATTTATTCTATATGGCCAGCATCACACTAATACCAAAAGCAAACGAGGATAGCACAAGAAAGAAAAATTACAGACCAAGTTTCTCCTGAAAATAGACGCAAAAATTCTCAAATAAAACTGAAATAATTATTAGAAAATCAAATCTAACAAGTATAAGAAGAATTATATACCAAAACCAAGTAGGATTTATCTCTGATATGCAAGGCTGGTTTCACATTAGAAAACCAATTAATATAATTCATCACATCAACAACAAAAAGGAAAGATCATATACTCATATTAATAGTTGTAGGAGAAGCATTTGACAAAATCCAACATTCATTGATGCTTTTAAAAACTCTCAGCAAACTAGGAATGGAGAGGAACTTCCTCAACCTTAATAAAGCATATCCACAAAAAGCCTACAGCTAACGTCATATTTAATGGGAAATAACTAGTGCCCCACTGAACACTCCCATTCAACACTGTACTGGAAATCTCAGCTAATGTCATAAGACAAGAAAAGGTACTTAGGTTGGAAAGGAAGTCATAAACTGTCTTTGTTCACAGATGACATGATTGTTCACATAAATAATCTCAAAAAATTGGTGGAAAAATTCTCCTGGAATGAATAGGCAATTATAGAAATGTAGCAGGATATAAAGTTAATGTGTAAAAGTCACTTACTTTCCTATATACCAAAATGAGCAATTTGAATTTGAAATTAAAAACACAATACCATTTACATTAGCACCAAAAACGAAATACTTAGATAAAAATCTAACATAGAAAATTCATGTGAGGAAATCAAAATAAATGTAAAGATAGGTAGCAAGATTCAATACTGTTAAGATGTTAGTTCTTCACTTGATTTATAGATTCAATGCAATCCCAATTAAATTCCATCAAGTTATTTTATGAATACTAAAAATTGATTGTAAAGTTTAGAATAGAAAGGCTAAATACCCAGAATAGCCAACAAGATACTGAAAAAGAACAAAGTTGGAGAACTCAATATTAAATAAATAACCTTCTCCTAATCTGGGCAGGAACTGAGAGATCAAAATATGACTCAGACAAGCCCAGTTTGGTGAATAAATGAGTTTATTAGGACTCACATAAGAGGCATTCCTGGATGCAGAGGACAGCTTTGGAGATCTTCCCTGCTTCCAATCTCTAAGCTACTTTTAAGTTAATTTTTTGGCTCTTTGCCTACTGTGTGTATGTGTGATGGGACTGTTTTCCTTGGTAGGTTCTCAGATATTCTCTGGGATGTTTGGATTCTTAGGGACACCTGCACCTCAGCGGGGCACTATGGTATTGGCTCACTATCCAACCTTTATGGTTCAAGCAGCGGACATTCACCCTTTAAGTAACATGGTAGGGGACCCATCACGCTAAAATCCACCCTGTCCATAAGCTCATACATTCTTTCTGCCAATCTTGCATGAGTGTCCATGAGCTGAGCACGAGGGGAAGAACTATACGGGCCAATAATGTATAGCCATGGCTTGTGTATACAGGCCTCATCCACAGTGCACACAAGAGCATACAAAGCAGATACTAACTACAATTATAATGCCTTTTAGCAAAAGGTAACTCCAGTGACTAGGTAAGATGTGTAACCAATCGGAAAATGGGTCAAAGAAACCTGATTGTCTTATGTCATATATCTGAGTTGACAAATGACTTAAAAGTATCTGTAACAATATTCTCTTTATCAGGGATATAGGCATAACAGATGGTGTCTACAATGGAACATGTAGTTGGATGACCATCAGGTTGGTGATTGAGCTTCCAAGTGAAGGCAATCCCCAGTGAACCCGAGTTGCATTATTAGTGCTGCTGAACCAGTCACTCCAATTCTGCAGGGTTAAAGGCAGACTAATCCAAGCCAAGGCATATTATTATCATTTGATAGGGAAAGGTATCCATAATCCCAACAATCAGACTGGTTGCTGATTGCTGCTCTAGTCACAGCCCAGTCCAGATGCTGTGGGTAGCAGTAACAAGAGCCTATGGACATAGACACAGATGTTTAGTAGGATCCTTCATGGGTGGATCCTCTCCTTACAACATTATTAGCACTGTATATTCTCCCATTGGTTTTATCAGGGAGGCTACTACGGGCTTCAGGCCTAGAAAACAGTACCACACATAGCTTCTCTCCCTAGGAGTGGGTAAGCATCCAATTAATTGCTAAGCTTCTGGTTTTGCCCATTCTATCTGCACTGTGCCTGCTCCAGAGGTATTGATGCTGCCCTGTGTTGATATTGTAAGGCTCTCAGACTTCCATCAAGGAACACAGCTGAGATGACCTCCCCTCCAGCAGTCTTCATGGTACTCTCCAGTCCCATAAAACCAATCCAGCTCAACTTCGGGTCCACATAGCTGTCACCTCTCGGCAGATCCACTGGTGTTCTCAGAAGCACAGTATGTCCATTTTCTTCAGGAGCATTTCTCAGAGTTGCAGAGGCATCCCTGAGAGCTTGTGGGACCTATTTCACAGGGCTTCCCAACTTCACAGGGAATGATGCCAGGGCCTTCCATTCATCTTTTTATGGGATAGGCAGTGTTTACTGTGATGGTCTTCTTTCTGGTGATGGCCTCCACTTCTTGCAATGCCCTATACATGGCCAATAACTGTTGCTCTAGAACTGTATAATGGGTTCTGCACTCTTTCATAATTGAGACCAAAATCCTACAGGTACCATTCACATTGGTTGCTTTTTATCACAAATCCCAAATCACCCCCATGGCATCCTTGTGGCTTCACAAACTCATTATTATGTAAAAGACAGATGGATCCAAATTATTTTTGATAAAATTGAGAACTGTTCACATGGCTAAACTTTATTTGCCCCAACAGGTAATCCAAGGAAAGCAGTGGATCAATAATTTGGTAAAACAATTTCTAACAGCAGTTTGATTTTTTAAAATCTCCTTTATCCATTTTTTTCAGTTCCAAATGAGTTTAATTCTTTACATTTTAGCTAAAACTGGCTGAACTATATAAGGAAAACAAAATCTCCAAGTGGCCTTGAATTAACGAATTTTATCTCAATACCAGTAGCTTAATAACAGTAGATTCAAAGCAGGCAGACAAGGAAAGAAAAATAAAGAGCTTTAGAAGACTCTACTTAACTCTATAGCTGTAGATTAACCATTTGAGCTCTGACTTTTTCTTGTAATTTGCCCATCAGTTTTAAAATGTGCACAAGGGTCATAATACGTTACCAGCCAGAGGATTAGAAAACCATGCCTTTGAACTTCTGCAAGAGTTTCTACCCTTTTTCCCTTTCCCACTCTAATGATTTGTCATTAGCCAGCCTTATTAAAATAACATCACATTTACTACCATTATCATACTTTAATATCTTAGCTTCTTGCAATAGGTCTTCAGTTCTTGCCAGTGTTTTCCAAGCATCCCTCTACTCATATAGCGGCCAGCAAAGGTTCTGGAGTTGGGCAGCTCCACTCCACGTGGAGCCAACCACCCAGGGATTCCCCACCATAGACACCCATTCCTGATGCTTTGCTTGGTCTCTCTGACCCCGTTTGTGATGCCAATTGTAACTACAAAAATCCAGAATCATGTCTTTAAAAAAAACCTTCCCCCAAACTGGGAGGGAGCCAAGAGACCAAAGAATGACTCAGACAAGTCCAGCTTGGCCAGTGAGTAAGTTTACTAGGTCTTATATATGAGACACTTCTAGATAGCAGAGGACAAATTCAGAGACCTGTCCTGCTCTCCATCTCTAAGCTGCTTTTAAGCTAATTTTCTGGCCCTTTGCCTACTGTGCGTGCATGATGGGAACTTTCCTTGGTAAGTTCTCAGATATTCTCTGGGATGTTTGGGTTCTCAAGGACACCTGCTCCTTGGCTGGGCACCATGGCATCGGCTTACTATTTGGCCATTAAGTTTCAAGCAGTGGGTATATACCCTTAAGTAGACTGGTGGGGGACCTGCAACCCTACTCCAGTAACAAGGCCTACTTCTCCTCGCCCATCACATGTGACTTTGGGAAAATTACTTATATTCTTTCTGGTTCGGTTCTGTCACCCACAAACCAGAAATAATGATACCAGGCCCAGCCCTATCTCTTCTTTCTGGGGTTGTTGTGACATTTAGAATGAGATTATGGGTTTAATAAACTTTAAAGGGTTAGAGTGATACAAAATGTAAGGAATACACCTCAGACTAACCTGATATAAAATCTCTACTGACAAGTCTGTGAAGACCTTAGCACAGTGCCTAGGATTCAGTAAATGCTTAGCGGGTATTAGCTATTAGTGTTACCACTCTTTTTCTTGTTACACTGTGTTCCTAATCATCCAACGATTAATCTAGTAGTCTATTATTAGCCTAAATCTTTAAACATTAGAGGTACTACCTTCTGAATTGTCACCGGGCCTAATGTCATCGAGACTGTAAACAATCCCCTAACTATTAAGATAACTGTTCTATGAATGCTTTTCATTTCCATTGGTAGTCTATTATTAGCCTAAATCTTTAAACATTAGAGGTACTACCTTCTGAATTGTCACCAGGCCTAATGTCATCTAGACTGTAAACAATCCCCTAACTATTAAGATAACTGTTCTATGAATGCTTTTCATTTCCATATTTTCTTGGCTCAATGCTGTTGGTCAGGACTACAAAGACCAAGTTGGTGACGATGACTGAGTGATGAAATAGTGACCAAAGGGACATGTGAAGCTAGTGTAATAAAGATGGGAGGGGCTGGGGAGAGTATAAGTAACTGTCAGGAGGTTAACAGCAAACCTCAGGACCTTTTCTTCCTGAGCTAAGGTAAACAATATTGTCCCTCATAACCCTGGTCTCCAAAACGTTGCAGGAAAGTTAAGTCCTGAGCCTAGAGCTGCCTTTTCCACAGACAACTGAACTACCTCATACAGATGTGCTTTTATGGGCAGCAGACAGAAGGAGCTGAATCCAGGAGTTTCCTTCCCTGAAATGCCCCAATAGAGGCACAGTCCTCCACCTTCCCTGGAACAGAAGGGCTTTCATCTGTCTATCTGGAGCCATCTCCTCTCCTGTTTATGCCCAGAACTGCTTTCCAACCCCATGGAGTGCCCCTGTACCTAACTATAGACACTGAGTCTACCAGGTGTTCCTGAGGAGACAACAAAGCCAATCGCTCCACACTCTTCTGATTTTCTCTGCCTCACAGGGGAGAACAGCTGGATCACCATGAAATTTGTCTTCTATTTGGGTGTCCTTGCTGGTATGTATTCAGCCCTTGTACTCTGTTCTACAAGTAAATGGATGCGGTGAGACAGAGGCAGGATGTGTAAAGGGTACAGAAAAAGTCAAAAATAGTGTCAACAGCAGAATTAGGGGGCCTGCCTTTTAGACACCATCAAAAGGCTCTCTGAATAGGCTGAGCCTACTTTTCTGGTGTTAAGCTATAGGGTGGGTTAAGGCACACACATGCCTTGAAGAGGGACTCCCAACGACCCTGATTATTCAAAAAGGTGAGCCTTATCACCATCTGGCTAAGCCCCAATGTGGTCACACGGACAGAGAACTCATTTTCACCTCTGATATTCATCTATTTCCAAAACTTTAAAGACTCAGAATGCAGGAGACAGAGAAGGTAGAAACAAAAGATCAAATACTAGGGCCCTACCTTCTATAGTCCCTGCCCCATACGGAGTTCTTCTGATGGCAGAATTTGCAGGTGAGGCATTTCCCACCACTCTGACTGCCGAGGTTGTATCACACATTAGCTGTCTGAGATTAGGCAGGTTAATTAATCCTTCTGTGCTTCAGTGTCTTCAAAATGGGGGTATGACTACCTATATTATAGAGTTATTGTGAAGATTAAACAAATCTGTGTAAAGCACTTAGCACAGTGCCTGCTATAGAGAGCTCAATGTCTCTTGCCCTTGTTGATAGTCTACCCTTTTCTCTTTGGGGCTTCTCACTGTGTGATCACACAGCAGGGTGTGGTGAGGTACAGGCCCAGGCTTGGGGAAGATTAACAGGAGTACCAAGAGCAGCCAAGACAAGAACAGGGCTTTATTTCTGATACTAGAATCAGTCTTCCTCCCCTTTATTCTCTAGGGTATATTGTAAATAATTCATTCATAAAAACAATACATGTTCATATTACAAAATTTAGATATTTTCAAAGTAGAAAAATAAGCATCATTCATAATCCCACCTCTTCATCAACACGTTAACACTTTGCGTTTACTCCCAGACTCTCTATTTTTTGTGTTTAAATGGTTTTTTATTTGTTTTTAGACAAATGGATTATATATACATTGTTCTTTTCCTTTTTAATTTAATAAGCATTAATATTTTTTCTGTTTAATATTATAATTTAATTTTTAATATATATGTTCCACTTTTTCATGTGCTTCATTTCAATGCCCAACATTACCATATCACATATATATGTTTCCAATGTTCAGCTATTATAAATAGTGCTAATATGAGCACACTTACTTGTAATCCTTGTCTATATCTGATTTTTTTCTTTAGAATGGATTCTTGGGGTTGGAATGATTAAGTCACAGGTTATAAACAATTTATTATTCTTGATGCCTATTTCTAAATTGCTTTTCAAGAAGATGGAATCAATTTATTAGCAGTGATGAGAGTCTCTCATTATACTCTCTTAGACTGAATATTATCAATATTAAAATTATTACAAATATGTGATAAAATGGCCTATCATTTTAATTCACATTTTTTATTAGAAAGACATGTCAAATACATTAACATTTCCTGGCCAATTGATAACTGTTTAAGAATCATCCATATTCCTTTTCGACTAGGAGACTATTATCTTATTTTTTTAATATTTATGTATTAAGAATGTTCATTATTTTCTCAGGAACCTTTTTCTTTGCTGATGCATCTGTTCAGAAAGAAGACCCTGCTCCCTATTTGGTATACCTCAAGTCTCACTTCAACCCCTGTGTGGGCGTTCTCATCAAACCCAGCTGGGTACTGGCCCCAGCTCACTGCTACTTACCGTTGAGTATTTGGGCATCTCCATCCCCAAAACAGCTACTGGTCATTCTAGATGAGTGGCTCTCAGATAAGGGTAACTTCTCCCCAGGGTACATTTGGCAATGTCTGAAGATATGTTTGGTTGTCACAACCAGGGGACAGTGCTACTGGCATCTAACGGGGAGAGGCTAGAGCAAAGATTCTGTTCCACATCCTACAATGCACAGCACAATCCCCATAATAAAGACTTGTCCAGCCCAGAATAGCATAGGAACCCTGTGCTTCATGATATGCCTCCTCAGTCTCTCATAAGTTTTTTTCAAGTTTTTTTTTTACTGGCAATTTGAATGCATTTTATCAATTAAAGGTCTAGCAGGTAACTGATGATGCACTCAAATTGGGTCAACTGGGGTGTGTTTTAAAAAGAAACTAATCGCAAAGGTATGGAGACATTAAAGGGGTGATACTAAGAATAGTTCCATACCACCAGGGTTTGTATTGAGAAAATGCAGTTACCACTCCTAGGCCTAAAAAGGCAAGAGAAGAAAACAATTTCAAAGGAGGCAGGGACAGATAGAGACAAGGTGAGACCTGTGTAAACAGACAACCTGATTGGAATTGTAACCCCTAGTCAAGGAACACAGCCACTCTGTGACAAAACCACAGGGAGGGATCTGGGAGGGTAAGTACTCCAATCTCACTCCTCTCCCTCCAATTACTTTCTGGAGCTTCCTAGTGGTCAATACAAGGAAGCCAGAGGACAAGAAAGCCCATTGATTAAATCCATATATGTCCCCTTCCAAAGGTGCAGAGCAGAATAGAATAGGATTGTTAGTGCATCAGCTAGTGAACCAAAGAGGAGACACCCAGAACTAGGTCATCTCATTCTCTGGTCTTCACCGACATGGAAGTTGTCCAGTTAGATAGGTGAGAAAATTACATTTCCTTGAATTGCATCCTCCTCCTCTCCTGTACATTAAAGAATACATTAGTGGTGAAGGGCTCCACCACTTACTATATCACCGTGAGTGGATTACTCCTATGTGCTCCATTAATTCATGGGCTAAATGAGGATAAAAATAGAATCCACTGCATAGACTTGTGAGTTGAGATAATCCAGAAAAAGCACTGGACACAGTTCCTGGCACTTTGTAACATTCAGTATCTTAGCCATGATGACGATGATAGTGATTACTTCCAACCCCTTCTCCCTCCAGAAATCTGAAAGCGATGCTGGGAAATTTCAAGAGCAGAGTCAGAGACGGTACTGAGCAGACAATTAACCCCATCCAGATCATCCGCTACTGGAACTACAGTCATAGCGCCCCACAGGATGACCTCATGCTCATCAAGCTGGCTAAGCCTGCAACGCTCAACCCCAAAGTCCAGCCCCTTCCCCTCGCCACCACCAATGTCCGGCCAGGCACTGTCTGTCTACTCTCAGGTTTGGACTGGAGCCAAGACAACAGCGGTAAGTGTGCCTTCCACAGCAAGTCAGGTCATCAGTTGTCCTTTAAGAGGAAGATCCATGTCCTCATAGCTATGAGAAGACAGGAGGAAAGGAGAATGAGAGGAGACCTAATGGAGATGCTACACAAGTGGCCTGGCAATCAGAGACCTGCCCAGAGGAGCAAAGCTCCTCCTTTCCCAGGTGTCTAACACCGCACGGCCTCTGCAGGGCTTTGGCAGCTGAAGCCACCAGGCCATCTGGCTCTGCACAGAGGCCCAGCCATTCCTGATTGTCAGAGGCACAATTCACATGACAAAGGCGTGGTCCTACTTCTCATACTTGCTCATTTCACATGTGAAGGACCCCTCTGAGAATTGACTCAGGTCATTTAGTCCTCCAAGATAGGCCACCGATAAAAAATAAACTACGTCGAAGAGACGTAAAGCCTATTTCAAAATCCTCGAGATTAGCTCATAACCACGCTCTTGATGAGGTCTCCCCTTTTCCTCATTGCTTATTTTCTTTAAACACACGCACAAAAAGACACAAGTTGAAATAGAGGCTGATGGTTAGGACTAAATCACAACTGTCAGCAGGATGTTTTATTTTATCCCCATCTCTCTCAGGCCGACACCCTGACCTGCGGCAGAACCTGGAGGCCCCTGTGTTGTCTGATAAAGAATGCCAGAAAACAGAACAAGGAAAAAGCCACAGGAACTCCTTGTGTGTGAAATTTGTGAAAGTATTCAGCCGAATTTTTGGGGTAATCTCCTCTCTATATTCAGCTTTCAGCTTTCATTTATTTGCATATGCTCAGTTAACTATTTACTTTTTTTTTTTTTTTTTTTTTTTTTTGAGATGGAGTCTCACTCTGTTGCCCAGGCTGGAGTGCAATGGCATGATCTTGGCTCACTGCAACCTCTGCCTCCTGGGTTCAAGTGATTCTCCTGCCTCAGCGTCCTGAGTAGCTGGGACCACAGGCATGTGCCATGACGCCCAGCTAAGTTTTATATGTTTAGTAGAGACAGGGTTTCACCATGTTGGCCAGGATGGTCTCCATCTCTTGACCTCATGATCCATCTGCTTCAGCCTCCCCAATTGCTGGGATTACAGGCGTGAGCTACTGTGCCCAGCCAACTATTTACTCTTGATGTAACAATTTTTTTTGATTTCTAAATAATTTTTTGAGAATTTTATAAAGCTGCTGCAAAGTCAGTACTGTTTCTTCAGTAATGGACTTCACTGAAAGTGTCTTTATTCATTAAAGGGTATAGTAAAGTACATCCAGTTAAACACACCATTTGCTAGGTATTCTCATAACTACAAGTAAAATTGTGAAAACAGCAATTAAAAAAAAAATCAGATTTTTCACAAATAGAAAATGCCTTCACCACTTCAAAAAAATGGAGTTTGATCCGTTTTACATGTGACTTCTAGAGAGGCTGTTCTCTGACTTTCTCAAGGTCACACAAAGCTAATTACAGCAAAGTGGAAAAAAAAAAAAGGTCTCAAGCTTTCTGTCCCTTGATTCAGTGCTCTTGTTGTGAGTCCAGCATATGCCTGCAGACAGGGCTCAGCCAGGTGGGACATCAAGGTTCCTGTGAGACAATCTGACACACTCACTCTCTCACACTCTTCATCTCTGCATGATCTCTGGTAGGAGGTGGCCGTTGCTACTGTCATCTGCAAAGACAAGCTCCAGGGGATTGAGGTCGGGAACTTCATGGGCGGGGACGTCGGCATCTACACCAATGTTTACAAATATGTATCCTGGATTGAGAACACTGCTAAGGACAAGTGAGACCCTACTTCTTCCTCTGCATTCCACTGGCTCTGCCATGGACTGTACAAGCAGATAATTTTCCCTCAATTCAAAATAAAATCTCCAAATAAAAATTTGGGAATGTAGCATACAAGTAGCCCATGTTTTCTTGTTTGTGTCTCTGTATCCTACAATGATGAGAAGAACCAAGATCAAATCATGAAATGAGCATTTACTACACTGTCCTGGATTGCATTCATTATCTCATTTAATGCTCATAATAAACCTTTGAGGTTATCTTTTGTTCCAACTTTACACATGAGAAAATGAAGGCTAAAAGAGGTTACTTAACATTGCCTATAGCTTTAGACATCAGAGCCTGAAATGGAACCCAAAATTGCCATATTCTAAATCCCTTGCTATTAGTCTCAGTGTTATGGGGGAGTCTACGGCATCACAGTAGATGTTGGCTATGTATTTGCTTCCCTCTCTTTCCACTCAAAGGGCTTGAAGCTCTCACTTGTGGCTAAGATCTTGGGTACTGGGATAAGCTTCCCTAAGAAAAGTCATGCCTTATCTCAGTGCTACATAAATTGCAGTACGTTTAGAGAGAGAGTTAGTGGAAGAGTAGAAAGTAAAACAAAACTTCAGAACAAGGTCAACTTCAGAACAAGGTCCACAATCATAAATCAAGTCCAAAAGGGAGTTTGGCAGCTTGGTAAAAGGTGAAGATGTCATCTAGATCCAAAGAAGATATAGTCCCAGGCAGTAGTGGAGCTTGAAAGGCAGAGACAACTGAGGTGAGGTAAAGGACAGAAACTGGGCTTAGCCCCAGACCATGGTCCTGAAATAGCCAGGAAAGCAGGCGCCAGTCCTATGCTTGAGAAACTCGCAAAGCTCTGCTATAGTCTGAATGTTCATGTCCCCACTAAATTTGTAAGTTGAAACCTAATCCCCAAAGTAACGGTATTTGGAGGTGGGGCCTTTGAGAGGTGATGAGTTCATGAAGGCAGAACCCTCACAAATGGGATTAATGCCCTCATAAAAGAGAGCCAGAGGTCTCACGTCCCCCTTTTGCCATGTGAGGTTACAGCAAGACAGTAGTCTATGAACCAGGAAGTGAACTTCATCATACACCAAATCTGCTGGTGCCTTGATCCTGAATTCCCAGGCTCTAGAACCATGAGAAATAAATTTTTGTTGTTTATAAGCTTCACACAGTCAACACTATTGTTATAGGTGATAGAGTAATTCCAGATATCCAAAAGACAGAGACATGTAGGACAAGAATGGGTAAAGCAGCCTCCCCGCAGGTGAAGATTCGAGAAAAAATTGCACATTATCCTTGGAGTCATATTTTCTACTCTTACGGTTTAAAATATAATCTATACTTTAATGAATTTTGTAGTAGGTAGAATAATGGCCCTGCAAAGGGTCCACACTCTAAGCTCATGAATATAATATAATCGGATTTAACTATGGTTCTGAACGTCAAAATTGGCAGATTAACCCAGATTTTCTGGTGAATCCAATGTCACCAAATAGAGGCAGGCAGATCACAAGGTCAGGAGTTCGAGACCAGCCTGGCCAATATGGTAAAACCCATCTCTACTAAAAATACAAAAAAAAAAAAAAATTAGCCAGGTGTTGGCACATGCCTGTAATCCCAGCTACTCAGGAGGCTGAGGTAAGAGAATCGTTTGAATCCGGGAGGCAGAGGTTGCAGCAAGCCAAGATCGCACCATTGCACTCCAGCCTGGGCAACAAAGTGAAACTCTGTCTCAAAAAAAAAAAAAAAAGTGAAAAAGGAAAGCAGAAGATGTTGTTGGGGAGATGCAACAACAGAACAAGAGGCAGGAGAGATTCAAATCATGAGAAGACACTGACCAGCTATTGCAGGCTTTGAAACAAACAGAAAGGGAACCTACAAGGCAAAGAATGTGAGCAGACCCCAGAAGCTGGGAAGGGCCCTCACCTGACAACTGGCAAGGAAATGGTGGATCACAGCTGTACAGAATTCTACAACCAATCTGCATGAGCAGGTTGGAAATAGACTCTCCAGAAAGGTGCATAACTCTGTTGACACCTTGATTTTAGTTCAGTAAAATCTTTATCAAACTTCTGACCTACAGTACTCTAAGATAATACATCTGTGTTGCTTTAGGCTACCTGTAGTAATTTTTTACAGCAGCCATAGAAAACACACTTTTAAATACACATATCCAAAAATAGCTATTAGTACTTTTTATAATGAAATGTTAAAACCTTCAATGGCTCCCAGTTTTCCTGAGAATAAATTTGAAATTCTAGGCTTAGAATGGTAAACTTATAATGGTATCTAGACTTTCTCGAGACTTCCCATACACCCCTTCCCATTACTCCCCCCTCCAAAAAAAGTATTTTTCAATAAATAGTCTGCCACTTGGAATTGTTTTCTGACCCCATGAAATGCAAATTTGGGTACAAAAGAATGTCAGAGAAAAATATAAGAGCCCAATACCCTCTCTTTAAGTTGGTAACCTGGTCAAGACCCAAACATAACACAGCCAGATCCATTTAAAAAACAACAGGCTAGACACAATGGCACACACCTGTAATCCCAGCAATTTGGGATGTGGAGGCAGGTGGATTGCTTGAGCTCGGGAGTTTGAGACCAGCCAGGACAACGTGATGAAACCCTGTCTCTACAAAAAAAAAAAAAAAAAAAAAAAAAAAAAAAAAAATTTAATTAGCCAGATGTGGTGGTGTCTGTCTGTGGTCCCAGCTACTCGGGAGGCTGAGGTGGGAGGATCACCTGAACCCAGTAGGTCAAGGCTGCAGTGAGCCGTGATCACACCACTGTACTCCAGGCTCGGTGACAGAGTGAGACCCTGCCTCAAAAACAACAACGACCACCACCATTTTTCAGCTGAAATTAAATCTTCAAGTGTTGAAACCATGTCCCAGGCAATGGGAACTATTTCCTCTTTTCCCAATTGCCTGTAATTTAGGGAAAAGCAAATCATACCAATTACTATTCAATTAACTCCTCTAGTTTGTTTTCTCTCCCCAGTGAGAGTGCTATTCTCCAGGCATAGTGACCAGCAACATGGGCTTCGAGGCTGAATTATCAAGAGGATACTTTGCCTGACTGTGGGGGATACTCCCCTAAGATCTCTTGCCCTCTACTCCTTTCACTCCTGGCTCCTTCATCTGAGGTTGTACTGTGCTCTTTCCTTCAGGGAGGTGTCAGCTGACCTTCACTGATGTTATTTTACTCATCTCAATGCCTAACCTCTCAAAAGGCTTTGAGATTTTATTCCACCTTTGACAGAAAGGCAAGTTGCCTCTTTAACCTTCGCCTCCCAGGTTCAAGCTATTCTCCTGCCTCAGCCTCCCAAGTAGCTGGGATTACAGGCACCCACCACCACATCCAGTTTTTGTTGTTGTTGTTTTTGTATTTTTAGTAGAGATGGGGTTTCACTATGTTGGCCAGGCTGGTCTTGAACTCTTGTTTAGCTTGTTTTCTACGTGAAAATATTTTAACTATTACTGTTTCAATGTATTAAATAAGTAGCCAGATTCTTATTCCTAAATCAGTTTTGGTAAATTGTATTTTTCTAGAAATTTACAATTTCATCTAAGTTTTCAAATTTCCTGAAGCAAATTTATTTATAGTATCTTTATTCTTTTTTAATATTTTCTGTATCTGTAGCTAAGGACCATTCTGCATTCATACTATTTAGCTTCTCTCTTTTGTTCCTAATTTATCTCATTGGTGGTTTCTTAGTCTGCTCAGGACGCCATAACAAAATACCATAAACTGGGTAGCTTATGGTATATAAATACATTTCTCACAGTTTTAGAAGCTGCAAAATCCAAGATCTAGGCACTGGCAGATTCAGTGTCTGATGAGGGCCCACTTCCTTGTGGATATACAGCCATCTTTTCCCTGGATCCTTACATGGTATAAGGGCAAATGAGCGCTCTAGGACCTCTTTTATAAGGGTACAGTATTAGTCTGTTTTTACGCTGCTGATAAAGATATACCTACTGGACAATTTACAAAAGAAAGAGGTTTAATTGAACTTACAGTTAAACGTGGCTGGGGAAGCCTCACAATCAACATGGAAGGAAAGGAGGAGCAAGTGACATCTTGCCTTGATGACGGCAGGGAAAGAGAGAAGCGCTTGTGTAGTGGAACTCCCTTTTATAGCCATCAGATCTCATCAGACTTATTCACTATCACAAGAACAGCATGGGAAAAACCTGCCCCCATGATTCAATTACCTCCCACTGGTTCCCTCTCATAACACGTGGGAATTCAAGATGAGATTTGGGTAGGAACTCAGCTAAACCATATCAGGCACTAATCCCATTCATTAAGGTTCTACACTCAGTACCTGACAGCACCCTCAAAATCCCACCTCCAAATACCATCACACTGAGGATTAGTTTTCAATATACAAATTTTGGAGGGACACAAACATTCAGTCTATACCAAATGACTTTTCTACCTTGTTACTCTTTTCAAAGAATGAACTTTTGGGTTTTTTTTTCACATATATCAGTCAGAAAAACAACACATTTGAAGAAATAAATGAAGAAAATTTAATAATTTGTGAGTGCTTGGGAAAGATTAAAGGAATCGTGATCATTTGAAATTTTATTTATATTTTCCGTTGATTTCTTCCATATCTTTATTATCTCTTTCCCTGTAGTCCTTAGTCCAAGGTCATTGAAAACTAACTTTTCAGTTAGTTAGAAATTTTGCATATCACCCATGTTCTGCCCTGAACCCACAATTTATCAATCCTATTCAGTTTAGCATTTAGAATGCTTCCAATTTTTGCATATCACCCATGTTCTGCCCTGAACCCACAATTTATCAATCCTATTCAGTTTAGCATTTAGAATGCTTCCAATTTTTCAGTTTTATAAATAACTGTGATGAACATCTTCGTAAAAGCAACTTTACATAGATCTTTAATAGAGATATATTTACAAAGTATAATTGCTATATGAGGATATATACCTATGTGTTAAAATATACTGTCAAATTGTCCCTCAGAATATTATACCAATTAGTGCATCTTTTCTCAGTGTATGAGAACATCCTTTCCCTGTATTCTCAACAAAACCATTATCTT